GTACGAAGGGAGGGAATGTGGAGACCGGTGACAGTACCTGAGGGAAAGAGAGGACAGGGAAGGGTGGAGGTGTTGTGACAAGGGATGGAAAAACTGCTATCAGCGCCGAGGAGGGAGGTTGGTGTGGGGAGAGGGCGCAGTGTACCAGCGTCGCGAAGGACAGTGTCAGTGGCTCCACTGTCCAGAACGAAGTCAATGGTGGAGGAAGGTGAGGCAGAGTACTGGAACGAAGTTTCATTAGCAGAAGAAGGGTACATGGGAGATGCAACAGATTCAGGTTGACCTAATAGACCAACAAAACCAGAGGAAGGGAAAGCGGTCACACTGCCACTTGCAGACGGCGTCGGGGACGCACCCGAGAGATGGGCTGCAGAGGCAGCATTCCCAGCAGTCCAGGTAGGAAAGGGCTGCTGCTGGGAAACCGGAGGAGGAGGGAGGAGGGGCAGTTGCGGCTGGAGGTCGAGCTGCTGCTGGAGATGCTGGAGCTGCTGCTGGAGCTGAGAGAGGAGAAGCTGCTGCCCATACTGCTGTGACCCCTGCTGCTGATTCCCAAGCTGCTGCTGCTGTTGCTGCTGCTGGTGCTGCTGCTGGGGAGGGGCGAGGGCCTGGTGGGCGTGGGTGGAGGAGGGAGGTTCATAAAGGGGAGAGGAACGGACCTCAAGGGGAGTGGGGCGAGGGTTGAGGGCGGACCAGCGAGGAGGGGTGCCGGTGTTGCCACGGGCAAACCACTCATCACTGAGTGCCTTGAAGCACGTCTCAGTGGCATGGGTGGTTTGGCCGCAGCGCTGTCCCTGAGTGGGACCGTAGCGAGGCAGGTACTGACAGGGAGGAAAGGCAGCTGCCGTACCACGACCCGCACCACTGCTGCCAGCACCACCGCGACCTGCTGATCCCCCTCGTCCACCCCCACGCCCACCACCACGCCCACCCCCACGCCCACCGCCACGTCCACCCCGGCTGCTGCGCGACTGGGCTGCTGCGGCTGTGGAGGAAGAGTGGCGAAGGATCTCAGCTTCGGTGGTGATAATCCACTGAGCGACTTCGGCAGGGGTGTGGTGCTTGGAGATAAGCTGCATGTAAGCAAGCTTGTGAGCGTCGAAGGCAGGTGTGAGGCCCTCGAGGAGGTGGCAGCAGATGACGGTGTCCGGGTACACCACATCGAGTGTTGCAAGGCGCCGAGCAAGGTCTAAGACACGGCGAGTGAAAGCAGCTGCGCCAGAAGTGGAATCCATGGAGAGAGTTCCAAACTCCTTGATAAGGGCGTAAAGAGTGGCAACGTCCTGCCGATCGAAAAGGTCGACTAGCAGTCGCCACAGGTGGGAGGAGGAGGTAGGTGAGAGCTCGCGTTTGAGGGAGGAGGGGACGGTGGCGAGAAGAATGGCAAGCGCACGCCGATCAGCAACCCGCCAGGCATTAATTTTCGTGGTGTAGTCTGCAAGTTCTGCAGTGTAGGTGTCCAGGTCCTCCTGGTACTTGTTGTAGCGGGCAGCGGCCTCATCATAGATGCGCCTGTCGTCCTCGTAACGCAATTGCAGGCGCAGGTGCTCTTGGAGATTGGTGCGGTAGGTGCGAATGGCGGTTTCCGAGCTCTGCGGGTCGTTGACATTCGGCGCGAAGGTGGGAGGATCACCGGGGGGAGAGGGCTCGGCGCCAGGGTGGGCGGGGGCAGGTCCAGTAGGAGCGGTGGGGGCCACGGGCTGAAGTCCACCGCCTTCCTGAAAGACAACCGAGCGAAGGTTGTAGCCGCTGACCACAACACACGAGAGGAGCACCTCAACGGAATGAGCATAAGAGTGCCAATTAGCAGCAGAGTTGTCAGGCAGCAACTCGAGTGCGTCAACAGTGGCAAGGTCGACGGAAGAATCGGACGACGATGCCATAGAGATGAGGGTGGGTAGAGGCTAGGGCAGGAGGAGGATGGTGCGAGGGTACCGTTGCCAATGCTGCTGCTGGCCCTGCTGCCCGTGCCGCTGCTGGTTCTGCAGCTGGTGCCGCTGCGGATGCTGCTGCGGGTAGGATGGGAGGAGGAAGGGAGGAGCGGAGGGTGGGGAAGGTGGAGGAGGAGGAGGGCGATGCTATGGGGGATGCAAGGGGGAAGGGTGCTGCTGGTGGTGCCGCTGCAGGTGCTGCTGCTGGTGCTGCTGCAGGTATGATGGGAGGAGGAGGATGGTGGAGGAGGAGGGCGATGCTATGGGGGAGGCAAGGGGGAAGGGTGCTGCTGGTGGTGCCGCTGCTGGTGCTGCTGCTGGTGCTGCTGCAGGTAGGATGGGAGGAGGAAGGGAGGAGCGGAGGGTGGGTTGGGTGGAGGAGGAGGAGGGCGATGCTATGGGGGAGGAAAGGGGGGAGGGTGCTGCTGGTGGTGCCGTTGAGGTGCCGCTGATGATGCTGCTGCGGGTACAATGGGAGGAGGAAGGGAGAGAGGGGGGGGGGGAGGGGACGAAGAGGGCAGCCGTGCGACTGGGAAGCCCGTGGCGAATGCACGCGGGACAGCCCGCGGCAAACGAGCGGGACGTGCAGAGATGGGCGCGAAATGGTCAGATTTCAGCGCGGGAGATGCAGATCTGGTCGCGCGGAGGGCAGATCTGGTCGCGCGGGAGGGCAGATCTGGTCGCGCGGAGGGCAGATCTGGTCGCGCGGAGGGCAGATCTGGTCGCGCGGAGGGCAGATCTGGTTGCGCGAAGGGCAGATCTGAGCGCGCGGAGGGCGGATCTGGGCGGGCGGAGTGCAGATCTGGGCGCGCGGAGTGCAGATCTGGGTGCGAAATGTTCAGATCTGGGCGCGGGAGGAGGAGATCTGGTGGCGCGGAATCCAGATCTGGGCGCGGAATGATCAGATCTAGGCGCGGGAGGAGTAGATCTGGTCGCAGGGAGTGCAGATCTGGGCGCTGGAGTTGCAGATCTGAGCGCGGGGAGTGCAGATCTGGGCGCTGGAGTTGCAGATCTGAGCGCGGGGAGTGCAGATCTGGGCGCTGGAGTTGCAGATCTGGACGTGCCTTGGAGGGCAGCGCCTTAGGGGGCGCACGGGGAGGGAGGACAGCGCCTAAAGGGCGCGTGAAGGGAGGGCAGCTCCGTGGGTGGGGCTAGATCTGAGGAACGGGGAGGAGAGGGTGGCCTAAGGACCGAGGGAGGTAGGCGTGAGCCATTAGCTCATGATACCATGTTAGAAGAGAGAGAATTGATACATTGAATAATGAGCCAAGAGGCTCTTTAGTACAAACAATGAGCAAGAGAGAGATGAGAGGGAAGCTTACCCTATTGGCCAATAAGTTGGCCAATGGGTGAGCTTGCTTGTGACCCAAGCAACCACAAATGTGTGTTGGTTGGGATTGGTTGAGCTAAGGACCAATCCCAACCAACCACAAAATGTGGTTGGAGGGTACACTAAGCAACCCCCCAATTTATAAATGTGCTACACTTCTAGCCTATGTATGTTGTATGAAATATGAAATTACAACAACGGCTGCGTGAGTGAGGTAGCAAATAAGCCACGGCTGCGTGAGTGAGGTAGCAAATAAGCCACAGCTGCGTGAGTGAGGTAGCAAATAAGCCACGGCTGCGTGAGTGAGGTAGCAAATAAGCCACGGCTGCGTGAGTGAGGTAGCAAATAAGCCACGGCTGCGTGAGTGAGGTAGCAAATAAGCCACGGCTGCGTGAGTGAGGTAGCAAATAAGCCACGGCTGCGTGAGTGAGGTAGCAAATAAGCCACGGCTGCGTGAGTGAGGTAGCAAATAAGCCACGGCTGCGTGAGTGAGGTAGCAAATAAGCCACGGCTGCGTGAGTGAGGTAGCAAATAAGCCACGGCTGCGTGAGTGAGGTAGCAAATAGGCCACGGCTGCGTGAGTGAGGTAGCAAATAAGCCACGGCTGCGTGAGTGAGGTTGCAAATAAGCCACGGCTGCGTGAGTGAGGTAGCAAATAAGCCACGGCTGCGTGAGTGAGGTAGCAAATAAGCCACGGCTGCGTGAGTGAGGTAGCAAATAAGCCACGGCTGCGTGAGTGAGGTTGCAAATAAGCCACGGCTGCGTGAGTGAGGTAGCAAATAAGCCACGGCTGCGTGAGTGAGGTAGCAAATAAGCCACGGCTGCGTGAGTGAGGTAGCAAATAAGCCACGGCTGCGTGAGTGAGGTAGCAAATAAGCCACGGCTGCGTGAGTGAGGTAGCAAATAAGCCACGGCTGCGTGAGTGAGGTAGCAAATAAGCCACGGCTGCGTGAGTGAGGTAGCAAATAAGCCACGGCTGCGTGAGTGAGGTAGCAAATAAGCCACGGCTGCGTGAGTGAGGTAGCAAATAAGCCACGGCTGCGTGAGTGAGGTAGCAAATAAGCCACGGCTGCGTGAGTGAGGTAGCAAATAAGCCACGGCTGCGTGAGTGAGGTAGCAAATAAGCCACGGCTGCGTGAGTGAGGTAGCAAATAAGCCACGGCTGCGTGAGTGAGGTTGCAAATAAGCCACGGCTGCGTGAGTGAGGTAGCAAATAAGCCACGGCTGCGTGAGTGAGGTTGCAAATAAGCCACGGCTGCGTGAGTGAGGTAGCAAATAAGCCACGGCTGCGTGAGTGAGGTAGCAAATAAGCCACGGCTGCGTGAGTGAGGTAGCAAATAAGCCACGGCTGCGTGAGTGAGGTAGCAAATAAGCCACGGCTGCGTGAGTGAGGTAGCAAATAAGCCACGGCTGCGTGAGTGAGGTAGCAAATAAGCCACGGCTGCGTGAGTGAGGTAGCAAATAAGCCACGGCTGCGTGAGTGAGGTAGCAAATAAGCCACGGCTGCGTGAGTGAGGTAGCAAATAAGCCACGGCTGCGTGAGTGAGGTAGCAAATAAGCCACGGCTGCGTGAGTGAGGTAGCAAATAAGCCACGGCTGTGTGAGTGAGGTAGCAAATAAGCCACGGCTGCGTGAGTGAGGTAGCAAATAAGCCACGGCTGCGTGAGTGAGGTAGCAAATAAGCCACGGCTGCGTGAGTGAGGTAGCAAATAAGCCACGGCTGCGTGAGTGAGGTAGCAAATATGCCACGGCTGCGTGAGTGAGGTAGCAAATAAGCCACGGCTGCGTGAGTGAGGTTGCAAATAAGCCACGGCTGCGTGAGTGAGGTAGCAAATAAGCCACGGCTGCGTGAGTGAGGTAGCAAATAAGCCACGGCTGCGTGAGTGAGGTAGCAAATAAGCCACGGCTGCGTGAGTGAGGTTGCAAATAAGCCACGGCTGCGTGAGTGAGGTAGCAAATAAGCCACGGCTGCGTGAGTGAGGTAGCAAATAAGCCACGGCTGCGTGAGTGAGGTAGCAAATAAGCCACGGCTGCGTGAGTGAGGTAGCAAATAAGCCACGGCTGCGTGAGTGAGGTAGCAAATAAGCCACGGCTGCGTGAGTGAGGTAGCAAATAAGCCACGGCTGCGTGAGTGAGGTAGCAAATAAGCCACGGCTGCGTGAGTGAGGTTGCAAATAAGCCACGGCTGCGTGAGTGAGGTAGCAAATAAGCCACGGCTGCGTGAGTGAGGTAGCAAATAAGCCACGGCTGCGTGAGTGAGGTAGCAAATAAGCCACGGCTGCGTGAGTGAGGTAGCAAATAAGCCACGGCTGCGTGAGTGAGGTAGCAAATAAGCCACGGCTGCGTGAGTGAGGTAGCAAATAAGCCACGGCTGCGTGAGTGAGGTAGCAAATAAGCCACGGCTGCGTGAGTGAGGTAGCAAATAAGCCACGGCTGCGTGAGTGAGGTAGCAAATAAGCCACGGCTGCGTGAGTGAGGTAGCAAATAAGCCACGGCTGCGTGAGTGAGGTAGCAAATAAGCCACGGCTGCGTGCATCTCGCTGTGCCCACCAATCATCATCATCCATTCTTTCGTGCCTCTGCCCCTTCCTTTCCTTGTTGTTCCTGCCCTCAGTCTCCCCTGCCATGTTCCCCCCATTCAAACCTGACTAAACAGTCTCTCCTGTCACCCGCCAGGCAGAGGGCGTTCCTGGTGGCCTTGATTGCGCTGCAGCGCCGCCAGGGCAGCACCGAGGACCGCACTGATGCCCACGAGGGGGGCAGCGGCAGCGGCAGTAGCACCAGTGGGAGCAGCGCGGATGTGCCGGTGCAGGGCAACGCGCGCGTGCCGGAGGTGCCGGTGGCTGTGAGCGCCCAGGCGAGGGCAGCTGCTGGGCGGGCGGCCGTGCTGCTGGAGGCGTGGGAGCGGGGCGGGGAGGGTGGGGAGGGGGAACAGGGGGAGGACGGGGAGAGAGGGGAAAACGGGGAGAAGGCGGAGGTGGAGGAAGGAGGGGGTGTGGATGTGCGCATGGCAGCGCAGGTGACATACCACCCTGGCAACTCCTCCCACCAGGTGACCACCCTCGCAGCCCTCCCACCCAGGCTTCCCTTCCCATGGGACGATACCACCCTCGCCGCCATGCCATCACACCCAGGCTACTCTACCATTATCCCATCCGCTAGACATGAGCAACGAGCGAACCGAACACGTTTTCTTAAATGTTCGAGTATAGGGTCGAACAGTTTTGAGCCAAGGCCGAACACTAAGGTGTTTGACCCGAAATCGAACAGTTTGCTTTGGGGGGTTCTTTCAGTATAGTCACATTAAGGCAGGGCGAGTGTACTAGAAGCAATATCACATTTCCTATAGCCCTACAAGAGATATATCTAGGCTTGGCGCAGATCTTGTGGATATCCAATTTCTCCTTGCTAAACTCCAACCTAAACCGAAATGCCCTTAGTACCTATTTTTAACCGTCTCCTACCCTAATCCAACCTTATACCTAACGTTTCCAGCCACAATGTGGAATTTTGACCGTGGGAATGTGGTAGTTTTAGTGGGTAGGGGGCGGAATGTCATCCTTAGGCTATATCTCATTCTTGAGCTCATTCTTGAGCTCATTCGTTGCCCTCCCCTTTTAGATCCAACCAGCGTGTCATACTTTGACACGCTGAATTTTCCCTCGAACGCCTAGGTGTTCGAGACGAACACATTGTGTTCTCGAACACCTTGGAGTTCATGCATTTTTCTGCACTCGAACACTCGAACAGTCGAACGTGTTCGTGACGAACACCAAGGTGTTCGTCACGAACAATTTTGGGCAAAAAAATCAGTCAAACACTTTCGAGTCGAACCGAACAGAGGTTCGAATTTTTGCTCATGTCTACCATCCGCTGCTTTGCCCGCCACACAGCTCATCGCGCCGCACAGATCATCGCGCACCTGTCCACGCACGCGCCTCTGTGCCTGCTGCGCCTCTCTCCTCCTCTCACCTGCCTTTACTCCCTCGCACCTCGCCCCCCATCACTTGGCCCGCACGCCACCTGCACTTCCACCTCGCCCCGTCTGCCTCTTCCCGCATCACGCCATCCCGCATGAATCTCGCGGCCATCCAGTTTTGCCTCACCCCATCCCCCCCCATCCCCTCCCATCCCCTCCCATCCCCCCCCATCCCCTCCCATCCCCATCCCATCCCCTCCCATCCCCCTCCCATCCCCCTCCCCCTCCCCCAGGTGTGCTACCAGCTGCCCCTGCCAGGCCGCTATGTCCTCTCGCTGCACCTCCTCTTCTCCGCCACCTTCCCCCTCCTGGGCTCCAATGCGCGCACATCCTTCCTTGGGGGGTTCTCCAAGTGAGGCGCGGGGGGGGGGTGGGGAAGGGAGCTGGGCGGGGGGGAAGAGGGGGGCTGCGGGGTGTGGGGGGGAGGATGGAAGGGGCACGCCCAATCGCTGTATTGCCATCAATTTCCCTTCATCGCTGTATTGCCATCAATTTCCCTTCATCGCTGTATTGCCATCAATTTCCCTTCATCGCTGTATTGCCATCAATTTCCCTTCATCGCTGTATTGCCATCAATTTCCCTTCATCGCTGTATTGCCATCAATTTCCCTTCATTGCTGTATTGCCATCAATTTCCCTTCATCGCTTCCCATTAATCCGATTCCTCTCCCTTTCCTCCCCCTTTCCTCCCCCATTGCCCCCCACTGCAGCTACACGGTGGTGCACTCGCAGGCTATTCAAGCATCAGCGCCGCGCACCTTCTTCCTTCACGCACACAGGTGCCTTCTTGTCACATGCCATGCCATGCCATGCCATGCTATGCCATGCCATGGGGCGTTCAGGGGACTGCTGCAGTGTGTCGCATGTGTCCTCACCGCACTTCAACGCCGAGGGTTACCCCACTCCTATCTCTTTGCTCTTACACCACGTCCCTCCTCTGTTCCCTCACCCATCCCACCGCCCTCACTCCTCTCCTCTCTCTTCTCACTACATATGATTCCTCTCCCCTGTCTCTTATCTCTCAACGCTCTCCTTCTCTCAGCCTACCACCTCTCTTCACTGCTTTCCACCGCACACACTTCTGATCGTACCGCTCGGCCGGCCCAAAACCACTTCTCGAAGAGCCTCCTCCAATGCATATCCCCCTCCTCATGCCTTCTTCGCGTCCCTCAACACCTCATGCTTTCTTCGCATCCCTCAACACCTCCCTTCTTCCCTCTGTGCCTCTCGCTTCGCCTCCCTCTGTTTACCCTCCACAATCTCCTTCTGTTTACCCTCCACAAACTCCCTTGCTTGCCGCTCGTCCCCGTTCCCCTCACACCTCTCTCCCGCTCTGCACCCATCCTTCCACAACGCCACCTCTCTCTCTTCTCCTCCTCCCTCTCCCCTATTCCTTCCTCCTTTCAGAGCCACCCTCCCTTACTGCACACCACCGCTCCTCACCGCATCCCACCACTCCGGCTACTGGATGGGCCATCTCTGGCAGCCCCACGCATGTCGCCTGCGCCGCCTCTCCCCCCCCGCCATGCATGCGTGCTTCAACGGCCGCTCGCTGCTCTTCCTCGGCGACTCCCAGCTGCGCTACACCTTTGCCTTCCTGCGCTTCCTCCTCCGCTTCCCCTCCCGTGCCGCCTTCCTCACTAAGTTCGCCGCCAAGCCCAAGGTGAGGAGGCAAGCCCAAGGTGAGGTGGCAAGCCCAAGGTGAGGAGGCAAGCCCAAGGTGAGGAGGCAAGCCCAAGGTGAGATGGCAAGCCCAAGGTGAGGTGGCAAGCCCAAGGTGAGGAGGCAAGCCCAAGGTGAGATGGCAAGCCCAAGGTGAGGTGGCAAGCCCAAGGTGAGGAGGCAAGCCCAAGGTGAGAAGGCAAGCCCAAGGTGAGGAGGCAATCCCAAGGTGAGGAGGCAAGCCCAAGGTGAGATGGCAAGGCCAGTATGGGCCACGCCACCACAGCGTGGGATGGGTATCATCGCTGCTGCACGGGCACACCCAGGTTTGCCAAGCCTTGGAGCTTCATGCATTTTTCATGTTGCTTCCATCGCCACAGAGATGCAATTCTGATGAATTCTTCACGCGGGTTGCGCACAGCACAGGTGTGTGAGTCGCTGCTGCTGTGGTCTCCCAAGTGGTCGGATTTCTTCCTAATCCCAAGCTTCAGCATGAAGTTCTACTATTCCAAAGGCCACCTGCCACAGCTGCACAAGTCCTGTAACATGCTGCCTTCCTCCCTCCCCCTCGCCTTCCCCTTCATCTCCATCCAATGCCACCTCCTCTTCACATTGCCAACTCCTCTTCACATTGCCACCTTCTCTTCACATTGCCACCTCCTCTTCACATTTCCACCTTTTCTTCCCCCCTCGACCTCTCTTTACTCACAGGTGTTTTGGCCCAACATGCTGGCCTGTGGCAGTGTGCCACGTGGCAACGGGTCCATCTACCCGCCAGTGAGCAGCAGCACGGGCGAGCTCATCTCAACAGGCGTGTGTCAGCAGCCGGGCTCCACCTTCTTCTTCCACGGGGAGAACTTCAACGGCTATGGCCGCGCCATGTACGTGCTTCAACGGCTATGGCCGCGCCATGTACGTGCCTCAACGGCTATGGCCGCGCCATGTACGTGCCTCAACGGCTATGGCCGCACCATGTACGTGCTTCAACGGCTATGGCTGCGCCATGTACGTGCCCATCCCATCCCTTCCATCCCATCCCCTCTCATCCCGTCCCCTCCCCTCCCATCACTTCCCCTCCCCTCCCCTCCCCTCCCATCCCTTCTCCTCCCATCCCATCCCCTCCCCTCCCCTCCCCTCCCATCCCATCCCCTCCCCTCCCCTCCCCTCCCCTCCTCTCCCCTCCCCTCCCCTCCCCTCCCCTCCCCTCCCCTCCCCTCCCCTCCCCTCCCCTCCCCTCCCCTCCCCTCCCCTCCCCTCCCCTCCCCTCCCCGCGCGTTCTGTCCCATGCCATGGCGCGCTGGCATCCCTGGCTGCCCCATGGGCCCCACCAGGTGCAAGGAGAGGGCAGCAGCGGGCAGGGCCCCACCGGCCAGCAACCGCCTGTGTCTCACAGAGCGGCGCCGTGAAGCCTGTCTTCCCATCCCCGTCTTTCCCGCCCCTGTCTGACCGCTGCCCCACCAGGTACAAGGTGAAAGCAGCAGCGGGCAGCCCCTCGTTTGCGTTCAACCTCACGTACGTGTCGCAGTGTGGCTCCATGAAGCCCGTGTTCCCCGCGTGGATGAGCGACCCCGCCCTGGTGGGGCCCGCGCTCACCCTCTTTGACTCGCGCCCTGATGCTCACAGCGCTGCTGGCACCAGCCATGAGAGCAGTGACCGCAGTGGGGACAGCAGCAGTAGTCGCAGCAGCAGTGGGGAGGGCAGCAGCGAAGAGAGCAGCAGCGGTGGCAGCAGCGGCAGGGAGGGGCGTATGGGGGAGTATGACATGGCGCTGGTGGCCACCACTCTGCACGACCTCATTCAGCACCCCACCGCCCGCGCCTTCGGTGCCCTCATGGGTAGGTGCCCTGCTGGGTAGGTGCCCTGCTGGGTAGGTGGCCTGCTGGGTAGGTGGCCTGCTGGGTAGGTGGCCTGCTGGGTAGGTGGCCTGCTGGGTAGGTGCCCTGCTGGGTAGGTGCCCTGCTGGGTAGGTGCCCTGCTGGGTAGGTGCCCTGCTGGGTAGGTGCCCTGCTGGGTAGGTGCCCTCCTGGTTTGGTGTGTCACACATCACTCTGCCATCGGTGTGTGTGTGGCCATGCAGCGCGCCTCATATCATGCGCCATGGTGCTCCATACATGGCCTTACTCTCTCCATACATGGCCTTACTCTCTGCTTTCCTGCTTCCCCCCACCATCCACACTCGCACGTGCTACAAGTGCTACCGCCGCTGCTGCCAGCCATGACCATCCCGCTGTCGTACTGGCTGTGTTGGCGCCGTGGGCTGAGCTCCTCCTCTTGCTCCCCCTTGCGCCATCTCTGCCCATCCAGACTCCCACCTGCTTGCACCACTACAAACCCCTCTGCACAAACTATATCCGTGCACTGGGCTTACCTCCTCCCTGGCTCGGCTCTCACCTGTTGACCCCACTACCAGCAGCAATGAGGCGTGACGCTGCTGGGCCTGTGGACTTACCTCCTCCTCTATCTCTCCGCTGCACCATTCTTTCCCCCATTCAGAGTCCAACCTGCTGCCTCCACTACTGGCGGTCATGAGGGACCCCTCAGCCGTGACACTGCTGGGTCCGTGGGCGGCGAGGGAGGACAACAAGCCGCCCGAGTTCATCCCCGTGAGCAACAACGCGCGTGCCATGGCGTTTGAACACGAGCTCCTCAGGTGCGCTGCTGGGTACAGTTGCATGCCTTCTCATCACGTGCTGTCAGGTGCCCCAATCTCACGAGGCTCATCTGTCTATACTGGGTCACATTCTTCACTTCTATACTGGGTCACATTCTTCACTTCCAAGACCGCCCCAGTGTGCAGGTTGCTGCCACTGTCGGCACCATGTCATTCCTCTTCACCGCACCTTCCACCCTCGCACCGCACTGCTTCCTCTTCAACCGCTTGGAGAACCCACCCCACCGCTCTGCCCGTGATGCTGCTCCCCTTGCCGCCCTCCTCATCCCCCTCCTTGGTGTTCCCTATTTGGCCGGTTCCACACAGCCCGGGCCTCCCAGCACACGGGGCATGATGGGGCTGACTCTGCCAGGGCCACAAGGACACACTACGCCTGGCCCATCTTCCTCCCTCCGCCCTCCACATCCCCCCCAACAACCCTCTCCCTCTTGCAAATCCCCTGTCAGGCGCCTACCGTCCACACAGCCTGGGGCAGCCAGTGCGCTGGGCATGATGGGGCTGACTCTCCCGCGCCCAGACCTGTGCCCCGACAGCACGCACTACGCGTGGCCCGTCACCCTCGCCATCCTCGACCTCTGGCTCACACCCCTCTGCGCCCCACACGCCTCACACGCTCCTCAACACTAGCGAGTAAACCAAGGCATGGAACTGTTGGTCACGACTCACGACTCACGCCCGAAGATGATAAGAGTCACTCGTGGGATGCCTATAGTCGTGACTCGGGCTACTCCCCCACCTCACTCCGTCCCATTCCCATTGCATTTGACACCATATCCAAAGATGCTCGTTTAAGGGATACGAAACACAGCAATCAAGCTTGAGAAGATTGGTCAATGGCGGCTGGCCTCTCTCTGAAGCGCTCTGGTTCTATTTTCAAGCATTCTGTGCCTTTTACCGTATGTCATTTATTTATAAATCGGTGCGTTCCTAGATAACTGTAATGGCCTGTTACCGTAGTTCCAGCTCCAAGCCCTCAGACTGCCATTACTGGGTCTCTCAAGGTCCAATTTCATACCGTATCGATCAAGCCTCCTACCTGAGATGCTCAAGGCGTAGCTACCTGTTTGATTGTGTTTCTTTTGCTACCACATGAAACGCAGTTCAATACAAAGACAGCAGTGTGCCACTATACAAGGGTTGATTTCCGATCGTCTTGAGGGTCACGCCTAAACAGCATTAACAGATTGAGAACAAGTACGGCAGATACTTACACTAGCATGCATTGTGGCAGTCCAGTTGTACTCTGGTTCCAGCCACAACCGCTATAAGGGAACATTCCTGCGGGGACATTTGTGTCACTGTACCGCTCTGTACCGAATCAAACCACTTCGTACACTGCGGTACCTTCCCGAAAATTGGGATTGTGACACAAATGTCCCTGCAGGAATGTTCCCTAATACCTAGAACTTAGGTCATTGCCAATGCCAAGACAGACATGTCAGCCAAGCTACTAGCATGAGCCAGCATACCGTATGGCCCCGGATATAGGCGCCGTCCGATTAAAGGCGCCGGCGCCTCTATCTGGAGCATGGCGCTTATGGCCGTTCCTTGATTATAAGCGCCCCCCCTAGAAAACGTTTACTTATTATAAGCGCACGTGCAATTCTAGTTTAAATTCTTGCTTAAAACAGTAACGAAATTCATTTTTGCAGCGAGTCAGATTTCGATTTCGCTTGGTTTGACTCGCGAAGACCTGACTGGCTGCACGTCTAGTCAGGATCTGCTGGCATGACGTGTCTTTGCCTGTGTGTGCACCCAGAATATCGCTTGCGCGAGATTTTGTTTTGTGACGCTAAAGCATTTCGACTCGGTTGAAATGGCAAGAAGAAAATGAACAATTTGGTGATCTAAATATATAATTTCGTATTTGTCATTATATAAGCGCCGGCGCTTATGGCCGTTACTCAATTACAAGCGCCCCCCCTCAAAAAAATGAATTTATTATAAGCGCATATGCGCCTATATCCGGGGTAATACGGTATCTTAATAATAAGCACCAGATAACAGCAGTTACACATACCAGTGCTCTCAGCACAGCAGCATTACCTTCATTCATTCACACATGTGCTGCTGCAACGTGTCAAAAGCAGGCGCTTGTGCTGACATTGGCTTTAAGTGCAAGCCAGCTAGGCAGTCCAATTCTGCTCACAGTAGCCGATCTAGACCCGCCCCTCCATTGCGAACCAACCCCAACTCTCCTCCACCCCTTCCCCCCCTCCCCCCCCTCCATCTTCCCATACAATTACCCCCTCATCTCCATGCCTTTCAATCCCACCGACCCACCAAATTGCAAGGCCCCACACCCTTCGGTCCCACCAACTTGGCGAGCATGGTTAGCAGAGAGCTTAATCTCCTCACTCGTCAAGCCAAATTAGTCCTTAGGCTAAATGTAGACAGCGGCTTAAAGCTACGATGCATCATATATATCCTTACGATACCTTTTTGCTATGTCCACCTTCCTTCTGCCACTCACCTTGCCACTGTTTCACCACTCACCTTCCAACTCCTCTTCCTGCTGGTCCTGCCGGGGCATGTGAGCTTGTGGGAGGGCTAATGGGCCTTTTGGCAGTCCCTGCTGCAATACGCCACCCTACCACACCCACTGCAGCTCTTCAGCTTCACACAACCACCCTCCACACTCCCACACCCCGCAGCACCGCACCTACTTCCCCTGCGAGCATCGGAACCAGAAGCCTCTGTATCTGCTAAGGGTGCAGTTGCAGCAGCAGTGCCTGTCGCAGCACCATTATAGGTTGACGTGGTAGCAACGGTGTGCACAGCTGGAAGGGTAGATGAGGCAGCAGTGCTCGGAGCGGCAACATCTGGTGGAGCAGCAGGGGTGGAAGAGGCAGAAGTGGTTGTGGTTGGCGCTGCAGCAGTGGTGTTGGCAAGATCAGGCAGGACCGAAGTGGCAGTTGGGGAGGGGTGGCGGTAGCATGGCTCCCCCAGCAGCATCTCCCGCAGACATGCCACCAGATTGACTCCCCCCGGCCATGGAATCATATAAGGTGGCAGCTCCGGCTTCTTGCCCTTTCCCCTAGTGCTCTTGACACCATCAACATCAGCACCAGCATAGGCACCACCACCAGCACCAGCACCAGTATAGGCACCAGCACCAGCACCAGCATAGGCACCACCACCAGCACCAGCATAGGCACCGCCACCAGCGCCAGCATAGGCACCACCACCAGCACCAGCACCAGCATAGGCACCACCACCAGCACCAGCACCAGCATAGGCACCACCACCAGCACCAGCATAGGCACCACCACCAGCACCAGCACCAGCATAGGCACCACCACCAGCACCAGCACCAGCATAGGCACCACCACCAGCACCAGCACCAGCATAGGCACCACCACCAGCACCAGCACCAGCATAGGCACCACCAGCAGCACCATCACCAGCACAAGCAATATCACTAGTGCCAGCACCATCACCACTTCCTCTGCCACTGCTACCGTTGCTGGCGCTGCCAGTACCAGCAGCAGCACCACTCCCCATGACTGCATCACTACTGCTGTTGCTAGTGCTGCTTCTCCACGCAGCCCAAGCCCAATCTCGCACCCTTTGTCTGATCCTCTTTGCCGCCCCTGTGTTGACTATATTAGCTAACCGCGTGTCCACGTGCGCCCTCTTCTGCCGCCCCTCACTGCCCGTGCACACACCACTGAGACCTGAACGCGCCGAGTCGACATTGGAATTGCTCAATGCAACACGCATGGCGGACGGCCAGGCTACTTTTGCCGTGTAGCACCACGACTGCAACTCCTCCCACACCTCCCCATCATCCTCCTCCTCCTCCCCTCGTGCCTTCCCTTTCTTCCTCCCCACCCTCTTCTTCACTCGAATCCCGTCCCCCCCCTCCGCCCGTTTGCTCTCAAACTGTTCCATATCCAGAATGGAGGCGGGCCACGTGAGGGCGACGAACATGAAGAAGCCAAGGCGCTCCGCCTCTATCTCACCTCGCAGCCTCGCCAGGTTGGCAAGCGCAGGCGGGCCTGGGGGAAATGGCGACAACCCCATAGCCTTCACAAGCTTGTCAAACCCAGCGGAGTGGGGCAGGAATACGGATAGAAAGCGGTTGAGAAGGACGCCGAGGGGGCGGTAGGCAAACTTGGCGACGAGAGCGATGGATGGGATGAAGGAGGTGTAGCTGCGGTAGCAACGGATGCATTTGGCACAAGCCGGTGGACTCGCAACAAGGCTGATGGCATCCACAATGAACTCTGCGTCCTCCACACATCGGATCATGGGCACCTCTCCTCTCGCAGGCGACGGCCGTGCAACAGTCATGCCGGATGCATGTGAAACGCCTCCTTGGTCTTCCCCAAACCCTCTGTTTGTATCACCCCCTCTTACGTCACTTCCTTTGCCAGATGCCTTGGCTTTTTGCCCCTTCTCCCTAATGTGCTTCCTCCCGGACTTTGAATCTTGTTCTCTTACCCCCTGACCAGACTCCACTCCCGTTGAACTCTCCTCCACAATACCCAGCTGAAAGAATCTCGCATCGGGATCATCAGGAAGCTTTGCAGCAGATTCATCGCCCTGTGACCATTCTTCCCACTCCATAGAAAAATTAGCATCATCAAGAGGCTTGGGGGTGGCGCCGAGCCTGAGCAGCAGGCTCGGGAGGTCTCGAAACGGATGGGGCATTTGCAGGATCCCCTTCTGCCGCCTACTCCCCGAGCATCCTTTCACAATGAGGATATCTGAGCCGTAGAATCAAACCCAGTGTAAGATGCGAGCAACTCGATACGTGAAGGCCGCGAGGACAGGACTTATGTTTACCGGCACGAGACCAGAGCTGTAGCTGCTGCCAGTGCCATCTGGTCGGGAAGATGCATACCACATTGCTGATGCTTCTGCTGCCCCACTCGTGCTTGCTGCTGCCCCACTCGTGCCTGCCACTCCCCACTCTCCTCCTATTCCTCCTGAATCGCAATTTCTGCCCTTATCACCTACCCCTCTTCTCAGCCTGCTTCTAGCCTCCTCGATTGCTGCCTCTTCCACTCTCACCTTATTGGCATTGTTCCCATCTAGCACGTACAGAACCGCCTCGATACAACTCTCTGGCTTAGACATCTCCATGGCCAAAGCAAGAGCGAAATCCGTGGTGCTTACCCCACTCACATACATGCCCTTATGAATACCATTCAACTGCACATCACTGCCACTGTTGCTGCCCCCCTCCTCACTGCAGTGGCTGCATCTAAACTCCCACCCTTACCCCCCTCCATGTGCCAGAATCCAAGCCATGCCATCCACATACTTCTCCCACTCACGCCCCTTCAAATTCTCCCTCCACTGCCCATTCTTCCCCCCACTGCCACCCCCCCCAGCAGATGCATTATTCACCTCGCTACTTTGCCTCTCGTCCCCTCTGCTCGCATCGCTTCTATGCTCCGGTCCCCCTTTGTCCCCTCTGTCCTTACCACCACCACCATCAACCTGCGTCACAATCAACCTTGCCAGGTCACCTCCCTGCTTCTCCTCCTTTTCCATGCCCCCACCCCTATCCATCACCTCGCCATCTGCCCGTCCCTCCTCCCCCTGCGCATTCTCAGCAGCCTCCCCCTCAGCTCCGCCCCTCCCCTCCGCATGCGCCTTCTCCAGCCCGCCTAACAGCAGATGCTGCACGAAGAACCCAAACCCTTCCTGCAGATCAGCACTCTCCTTCACCCCGAGCACCTGCACCAGCATGGACGCAAAGCAGTCGTTTTCAATCTGCCTGGTCGCCCCCAACTGCATGATAGCCGGATAAGCGGCGGAGTGAGTATACAAAGACACCGTTCTTAGGTTCACAACACGCGGGCACCTCACTACAAGCATGAGGAAGGCAGCGAAGCTGACAGCACGGCGGTAGGCAGCCCAACGAGTAGCCCACGTTCCACTAGCAGCATCAGAACCAGCAGCTGTTGCAGGAGCAGGCGCAGTTGTAGCAGAATCTGTGATGGCCAGAATGGCAGGCAGGTGGGATCTGATCCTCCCCAGGTCCATGAGCACGCCCACACGCGGCTCAGCCATCCACTCGAAAATCATTGCCTCGGCACAGCGCATCGGCGCCACCACACACTTGACGCCCAACACCGGCTGAGGCGGCGACCCCTCCCGAAGCTCCAGAGGCTTCATGTGTATCCCTGCAGAGTACTCGACAATGGCGCTGGATGGATGATTGAAAGGGACGAGCGGGATGCAGTCAGGCAAATGTGCCAGAAGGAGGGAACGGAATCCTGCCAGCCCAACCATGCGGAGTGCGAGCTGTGCGCGGTAGCTGCCGGCACGGTCGAAGCAGCACTCGCACTCCTACCAATCCCAGGCGCCTCTCACATCGACGTAGTGTAACATGTCCACCCGCGACAGCACATGAAGCTTCTCGGGCCCCTCTTTAGCCCCTGATCTCCTGCCGCACCGTCTTCGATGCCTCGCTGCCATCCCTGGTTCGCCCTCGGTTCCGTGGTGAAGCTTCTGCGCCGCCATCTTCACAGCTTCTACCGCATCCGATTCCCACTCCTTGTCGTCGCTGCTGCTCGTGCTCTCCTCGGCCTGGGTAGCGGAGGAGGCGCACTCACAGCGGCAGATGCAGCAATAGGCACGTCCAGTGGAGCCTTCCTCCCCGCATCTTCATCGCCAACTGTACACTCCAAAACAGCTTTTCGACGGACATAACCGTTTCAGCTTTGCCTGCTACACTTAATTTGCAGATAGGTACACCACCTGGCCAATACCCAATGGAGTTGATGCGTCTCATTTGCAAAGACAGACTTTTCTCGCCTTCCTCACACCGTTTTCTCCCTGCTGCTGACGTGTCTTGTATGGGAAGCAGGAGTTTGAAGGATCGGACTAAGTTACACTATTGATAATTGAGCAATTCTTTTGACATACTGTTAGCAACTATAACCTCGTGAAATGAAACTGGCGGTTTTATCTCAAATCAAATTTAAGTGCTCTAGTCTTACTTCGATCCGATCGTCGGATTCGCGTTGCAGCAATCCAGCTGCCAGCTGGTGTTGTAAATCGAACCCTGTAAACCATGTCCGACGCTGTTGACGTCACGCGATCTACTCATCGTGCGTACAGTCTGTCACTGCTCTGCATCGCTCTATTTTCCTGCTAACGCTGCCGACGACCCGACAAAAGTTCTGACACATTTGAGATTTGGTAGTGCATACTAAAGCTGGGTTCCCTCAAAATACCTCGGAGTATTGCACACCAAGCGATATCCATGGCTAGAGGATCTAGGGGGCAGGCGGCTCCCACCGCCGAAGCTCCTGCCAACCCGATTGCGAACAACTCGGCGGCAACCACGACCGTCAGCAATGCGCTTCTGAATAACTAATCCAGCGCATCACCACACTGAATCAAGGATCCAACAAAATTAAAATGAACCTCGGCAAAAAGGCGGACTCTTATATCAACCGCTGCCGCAGCATCCGCGATCAACTTATGAAGCTAAGGAATACGATCGCTGAAGATATGTTGGTCACGATAGTCTTCAGAGGAATAGGACCCGACTGGAAGCCCTGCAAGGCCTTACTTTGTCAGCAAGGCCTTACTTTGTCAGCAAGGCCTTACTTTGTCTGCAAGGCCTTACTTTGTCTGCAAGGCCTTACTTTGTCAGCAAGGCACTATCTTAGAAGCCACCCTGTGCGCCGCTCTCCTTCAAGAACAACAGGACATGGACTTTAATCAGGAGAAAGGGGCCCACCGCAAACACATCGCCTTCTACACAAATCGTGTCCAGCGACGATCGTGCGATACTTGTCCCTGTCAGTACTACTGCAGAACAGCAAATTTTAATGCCACTCAACTGAGCGCTGTCGCTCGGGACCTCGAACCAACTCAGCTCCTCGAAACTCACCTGTAGTCGGTTTCGACAACTCGCGCCAGATAAGCCGTCTGTCCCGGACCATCGGCCTGTCCCGCGCCCCCTATCGCAGGCGGACCCTCAACAACAAATGCTCCCAGTCAAAACGTCCGTCACGTCATCGGCAATATGGCGATGCGCGCCCATCGCCGTACAAGACCAAACCGACGGCATCTCCGCCGGGTCTCACCACTTCCACCAGGCTGGCAAGTCGAACACTCCAGCGTCAACAACCCGTTCACCAAAGACGGGAGTTTGCCTCAGACGCCGAAAAACAGGATTGGAACCTTCCAATACCATTACTCGAATTGCCACCCCATGACGAAGATTTCCTAAACTTGCCATCCATTTATCAATACTTCTATGGGAAGGACCTCAACTCACAACCACTCGACAATTACCGCTACGCCGATGACAAACAGATTCCTTTCCGCACCACTCCCAACCTCGCTTTCTCCGCACATAACACAAACGAGGCTTACAGCACCTGGTACCTGGACAGCTGCTGCGGCCAACACATGTTGGGGTCCAAGCGCTTCATTCCTAACACACGCTCCATCCCACAGCCGACCGTCCTCACAGTTGCCAACAACCAGCAACTTGAAGCCAAGTCATGCGGCATCGTGCTCCTCAAGGCATGCGACACCAATCTCCATATCACACTCAACGACATGCTCATTGTCAAGGATCTGAAGTCCAATCTCTCGTCCTACGAGCAGCTTGTCCAAAGTAGCGTCGAGATGACAACAGACAAAGTGCCAGGTGCATCTTGGTGCGCTGAAGAGATGACAGCCGCCACGACGCTGTCATCCCAGCTCGCTACATTTGCCAAGCACAAACAGACAACGCAGTCTACATCTTAGACTTTGACATCCCTAACTGCAGTGCTGACCCAGACGACCTCGTAGACCTCCAGCCCCAATGCAGTAAAGGCGGCTGGGATAGGAGGTTTGGAGACCCTTCGAGGTTTGGGACTGTGTGGCACTGTTCCAGCTCCCTGGAACTCGGCTCTTGAAGTTTGCAAAGGCAGGGAGTCATTCCCAACTCGTAACTTCTTCCCTTTATGTGTCCTAAGACTATAGTTGCGGCTGGATCGCCGTTCGCTCAAACTACTCTTACTTCGTCATTTGTTTATCGAATCACGTGATTCAACTATCTAATTGTAGGCGATGTGAAGACGCTGCAGATCCAATATATAGCACCTCATTTAGTTTTTAGAACACTATCAATGTTTAAAGCTGCTTTGCCGAAATCCGCCTGTGCACTCTATCCTTCGTTTATGCACATTTGAGCCTATTGTTACTATGTCAACCCAGCAGCCCAGTACGCCCCGTCACCCTGCAGCCCATTACGCCATGTTACCCCGCAGCCCAGTACGCCCCGTCACCCCGCAGCCCCCGTACGCCTCGACGCCCCGTACGCCCCGTATCCCCGTAGCCCTGTCACCAAATACGCACTTTGTGGATATGCGATGACAGTGGTGCGCATGTGTAGATTGAGGTGTAGCAAATGTTGTAATAAAAAAAAAGGCTGAGTAGGGGGAGGACGAATTCGACGTTGGGAATGGGAGGGAAAGCACCGAGAGGCAAAATGCATTGAACTGATCAGGGAGGACCACCCCAAACTCTAGCCGCACATTGTGAAATTTGTGACTTGATCTTGGGCAAGGTAAGTTCAGTCACGAACACACAATCCATGCTTTGCGCTTGTTATTCTCTCATCATAGTGAAATCGGTTGCTCTAGATCTTACATCCAGCACCACACCACTAGGAGGAAACCTGCGGGGTGAGGGAGGAAACACCATCATAACAAGCGCAAAGGGGCATGGACGTGCAAGTGGGCACGTGAGCATGGGCAAGTACGAGCTGCGATGGGGCAGGAAGTATAGTCGTCGTGAGGAGGAACGGCCGCGGTGCGAACGCTCGCAGGAACGCGGACACTCGCTGGAACGATCGCCGCAAAGGCCGGCTTTCCGCGCTGATCAGGTTCTCTGAGCGCCAGATCGACGTGAAGGTTCGGCCCGCGACAAAGCCGGGGGGCGGGATCCGCCATGTCGAGAAGAAATCCGTGGCGGACGGACGCACGCGACGGATCTGAGGTGATCATGGGTATCGCCGTGACACGAGAGCACATCCCTTGCCGGAAGAAGGGTACCGCAGACACGGAGAAGGCCACCGCTCGCGAGGCTTGCAGGCATGGCATCCTGGTCGACGAGGAGATCCCGACACTGACAGCAAAGAGGAGAGTTTCCCTGTGGGGAAAACGCGAAAGGAGGGCCTCAGAGAAGGCGCGGACGAGGGCAGCGAGGATCGGCAACGCCAAGAGGAGGACGCTGACAGGAGTCAAGGCACCACCGCTGGAGCCGACGAGGCTGATTCCACGAAGGCGGACCAGGGCAAGGCGAAGGCCGACGGGTTGGAGGGCGCACGAGAGGAGCAGCGAGAGGAACCCCGCGACCGTCAGGAGGGAGATCCCTCCTCCGATCCGCGTTAGCTCGACCAAGGAGAGCGAAACGCGGAATCGAGTGTGTCCGCGCGGCAAGGACGGCGCGGAGGAAAATGAGAAGAACGGTCGCGCACACCGGAAAAGCATTGTCAGCGCGGAGCAAGGCGAGGCGATGAGTCACGCTCGCCCGATCCGCATCCGCGATGTGAAGGGTGGCGCGGTGGCGGGGAGCGCTCGCCAATCCGCATCCGCGACGTGAAGGGTGGCGCGGCGGCGGGGAGCGCTCGCCCGACCTGCACCAGAAGCGTGAAGGATGGCGTGATGGCGGGTCCCGCTCGCCAGGTCTGCATAGGCAGCGGGAAGGAAGACGTGAGGAGGGGTGCCACGTGCCGTATGGTCGTTGGCAGCATGGAGGAAGGAGGGACGAGTGGTCACCATCGCCAGAGAAACCTCGGTGCGAGACTCGGCGGGAAGAATGGGTGAGGGCGCACCACTCGCCAGATCGGCAAGGGCAACGCACGGGAGGGCAGACGAGCTCGAGGAACCTGCAACGAGAGGCGGGATGGGACCAGCGTGGAAGCAGAGGCGGAGGCGGGAGTTTGGGGTACAGAGCGGAACGAGCCAGGGAGGTCAGGGAAGGAATTGAGAGAGCAAAGGAAAGAGGGACACATTGGAGGCAGGCAAGAACAGCAAGCGAATCTTTGGGAGAAGGTCGGGGAAGTGCATCAGCGGCACCCCAAGTGGAGGTTCCGGCGAGGTTCTCAGGGGACCAACGCACGGGTCCCTCACTCAAGAATTACCAAATGCAAGTGGGGAATGTGCGGTACCGATGCGACAAGAATCGCATGGACCCGGTAGACTTATTCTGAGCTTACCGAACACGCTAGATGGGGAGGCGGGGACATTGTATCAAATGAGGATGGACGAGCTGTTGGG